ATATAAAAATAAAATTTTAAAAGCCGAAAAATGGCATCACTTAGATGACTCTAGACTGAAACGCAACTTTAAAGTTTCGTATATCTACAAGACAAGAAAGAAGACAACATAAATTAATTTGAACCTAAAAATACTTAATCTGAAAAATAATTGTTCACTAAAAAAATCTGATAATAAACAAACAATACTATTAAGATCTATTATGAACTCTCATTGAAACATTATAGTTAGTACATCTATTATCCATATACACAATGAAAATAGAAAAATCTCATCTTCTATTACTTATGGGACAAATAATAGATAAAAATGTAATAAAAATATAACTAAAAATAAACGGGGTGGGTAATGGGGTGGACATGTATAAAACCATAACCGCCTCATTACCCGTAAAAACAAAACGGGTATTCCCCGCCCCATACCCGTTACCCGGTCAATGCGGTTTTCCCCGTTTTGACCGGGGCGGTTCGGTGCGGGTATCCATCGGATCAGTCACAATTGCCATCTCTACTAGCCACTTCTACGGTGCTACTGTCACCAACCACCGACATGTTAGATTTTCGCCTCCACCGCCTCCGATCATCGTTGTCGCCTTGTCAGCTAATGAAGCTCCGGGGATGCAAAAGATTCTAGATTTTCGCCACCACATGTCTGTTTGCCAATGTCTTTGGTCACTAGAGCTATGCCGCTTGCTGCGAGCAGCTGCCGCCTCCAGGCCACCACTGGATTGTTCCGCAATCAATGGGATGGATGGATCGAATTATAATCAAGGAATTATAGTTCAAAATGAGATTTAGACTTACAAAAAAATATACAAATATATAGAACAACATGTATTTTATTTCCCAAAAAGGACTTATTTCATTCTACGGAGTATTAAAAAAAAATCCTCTATCATGAGTAAATGAGTAGTATATTAGCAAAAAAAAATCCTCTATTCATTTTGTTTATGTCAACGGGAACGAGTGATGGTGAATTGGTTAATCGATACGGAGTATTACCAAAAAGTCATTATTATTAAAGATGAGATGACTGTGTGACAAATCGGAAAAGGTGAGAACAAAAATTTCAAAAAGTTGTGTAGGTTTACTCTACCCATCTATTCCCTTTTAATTGGTCCACTTTGTGGGTCAATTAAATCAGCACATTAATTAAATCTCCACTGGACAACTATCACAAGAAAGCAAAAAAAAACTTCCTCCTCCAAATATCTGCCAAGTCCCAATCCTTCCATGCCTTCAATGGTGCAATATCTATCTACCTATAACCTATCATTAGTGACAGCGAGAAAAAATAAATCCTATAAAGATTTTTTCAAATGATCAACAAATAGGGCATAAAATACAAGTATTTTTTTAATTTCAGGCAAATCGACAACTTTTTGGTAATCATATTTTGGTAATCATATTTTTCGGTAAGAGTCCAAGAGCTTTTTTGATAATCATATTTTTCGGCTTATCAATAACCAATTTTTTCACTAAACACATAAATTTTGATTTCGCACGCCGATTTTGTAATAATAAGAAAAAAAGTAAAGCTGACAAAACACGTAACTTATTGTAGAAGACTATTTTAGCTGCTTTTCATACAATTTTTTCTTTATTTTATTAATAAAATACGGAGTAATCTTTAAATATAATTTTTACCTAGATTAGCAGAAGCAACCAATGAGCCAATCCACCCACCTTAATTAGAACTTCAAACAGAATAACCCGATTGAGAATATTTCGATACTAGCTTTCAAGCCCGTGCGATGCACGGGCAGTATGCAATTTATCTAATTCAAAATTTAATTTCTTTCGGATGATGTGTAATGTGATTTTAAAGAAAAATAAACATAGTATAATATAGAGCCTGTTTGATAATACTAAAATATATTGAATTAACATATGTTACTGAAATTGATTAAATTCTGGCTGAATGGGTGGAATCTCCTGAATCATGAAAAAAAAATGTAAAATATATTCCATTTGTGAAGCCAAGAACAAATTATATGAAAAGTAGTTAAATTGATCTTCTACATAAGCATATAAAGTAAATATAATTGTTATGAACCCGATTTTAAAGAATTCATAATCTACCCGATTTTAATAATAAGATGTTACAGTTTACTCATTATTTTGTCACACAGTAAATGTAAAAAATGGAGTTTTTTAACATTTTACTCATTATTTCGTTACATAGATATTTTTTAATTATTATGAACATCTAAATTACTTTATTGAGCATTTCAAACTAAATTTTTTCTAATATTTCTCATTCAACTTGGTACGAAATAAAAATTTTAAAATTTTAATTGTGAGATCTTACATTTTACTCATTAATAAGGACATTTTTAATTTATTTAAATTTTGGGTTTGATTTAGTATAATTAATATGATCTGGTAAATGTTTTTTTACATTTTATGTGACCTACTACTACTACTGCTGCTACTGCTGCTACTGCTGTTACTGCTGCTACTGCTGTTACTGCTGCTACTGCTGTTACTGCTGCTACTGCTGTTACTGCTGCTACTGCTGCTACTGCTGCTACTCCTGCTACTCCTGCTACTGCTGCTACTCCTGCTACTCCTGCTACTGCTGCTACTCATGCTACTCCTGCTACTCCTGCTACTCCTGCTACCACTGCTACCACTGCTACCACTGCTACCACCACCACCACCACCACTGCTACCACCACCACCACCACTACCGCTACCGCTACCGCTACCGCTACCGCTACCGCTACCGCTACCGCTACTGCTACTGCTACTGCTACTGCTACTATTATTATTATTAAAGTTTGATCCGATCTGATTTAATATGGAACTGAAATCAATCCAATTAAAAAAATCTATGAAAATAAAAGTAGAAATTTGTAAACATATAAATATTTTATAATTTGAATTAGGAATCTATTTCAAAAGTGAAGGCACATTTAAATTGTAGTTGTAAAATAAAGAAAAAATCAAACATATTTACTTTTTTGGTTAGGCCTAACATATTTACTTCTGAAAATATACATACATTTATGTATTTATGTATGATATCAATTTTCATCCTTATTAAATAAGGTAAGTTACTTGATGAGAAGTATTCTTTTTCAGATTGTATATTAAAATATCTTATAGTTTTAATTTCATTTTTTAATTTCAATTATATGGTGGTTATAATTTTTATCATTATTTTAATAATTAAGAAAGAATTGTATGAAGATGGAGCAAAATGTGAAGTATTAACACAATTGCAAATCCAGGGCTTAGAATTTTAATCATTATCTCTTTCAAAAAAAGAATTTTAATCATTATCTCATCATTGAGTTTAGAAAAATAAAATATTGCATTTTAGAAAATGGGACACTTTTATTACATTTTTTTATCAAATTACTTTGAAGACAAAATTAATAGCAATTTGGCTGATTTATGTGTTAAGTGGACAAAAAATGAAAACTTCATCTCTTTAATAGAATGTGATAAAAAAAATAAACAAGTATAAAAATAATTAAATGATTGTTACTTCATGTTTCCGTGCTTAAAATTTGGTTATTAATTGTTTGGTTCCAATTACACAATTTAATACTTATCAAATACGTAATGGGTTTCGAAAAAGTTACCAAATTAATTAAGGTGGATTTCTACGGATTTTTGTTTCCATATCAATATGCAATCAAAAATAGAATCTAGGTAATATGCAATCAAAAATAGAATCAAAAATAGAATCTAGCTATAAAAATAACTAAATAATTAATATATATAATGACATGACAGGATTATGTGGCGCTTTGTATGCTCTAAAAAAGTTCCTCTTATATATATATATATATATATATATATATATATATATATATATATATATATATATATATTGATTGCCAAAACCTCTTTGCTTGTGCTGATGTCGATCATAAAATTACATAATAACAAGGAGAATGAAAGACAAGCTCTTTGATTTGATATAAATAATTCTAATGATAATCTTTAATTTGAATTTGGTTTGATATAAATAATTCACATGATATAATGATAATCTTTAATTTGAATTTCCAAGAAAGTTTTACTCCCACCCAAAAAATGATGGATTTTATACCATGTACACAAGTTCATGGTATAAAAGCAATAAAATCTCATTTCTCCCCTCCCTCTTCTCTCTCCCTTTTATCTCCCCCCTCTCCCTTCTCTTTTCTCTCTTTACCCAATCTATCTATTCTAAAATTCTCTTCTTTCCTTCTTTATCCTCTTTTCTCCACCTTTTTATATCAATTTTTTTCATTATTTGCATTAAATTATCTTATTCTTCTTATTTCATTTATTTTGATTATTTTTCTATTTTTTTCAAATTACATGTAAATGATTACATATACAACTACATCATTCATTGAATGTGTATAGACAATTAATTTTTTGTTCACCTAGACAAATGAAATTGATTACACCAACAATTAAATTTGTTGTCTGTGTGGTAAATATTGTCGGTGGACAGAGACAAATAATTGTTTGTGCAACAAGGAAAATTTGTCTGTGCACACAGACACTGCACATATATTGATTGATTTGCAAGGTGTCAGTGTCAGGTGACTGACAGTATACTTTTTACAAAAAATGTAAATGTCTGTTGGCACAGACAAAAGTTGTGTGTGTACAAAAACAATTCTAGTCTGTCTTCATAGGCAACTCCGTACCAATTGTCTGTTATCGACATTTTGTGTACAAGTTTTGTACAACTTGTGTGCTCCTAACATTTCTCAATCTAGAAAATGACACTCCCTCCAATTCATAAACAACTTACACATTTGACTTCACTGACTTTACTGTGCGGTGTACTGTTTGGCATTGTTTGGACACTGTTTGACACTATTTAACACTGTTTTGGTGTAGATAATTAGCCAAAGAAAGAAATGTTTGAAAGTGGAACTTAATTTTGAAACTGCTCAAAAGGAAAGGTATAACTTCTTTCTCAATGGATGGAGGGAGTACTTCGTATTCAATATTTCAATATGCACAATTCCTTTCCAAGCTCCCAAGAAAAACACGAAAAAGTTTTGATTAATAAATACTCTATTTCAATTAAACTGCAAAAATCAAACACGAAATGAGAAAAAATAATCAATAAACCATATGATCGAAATATCGAGTGGTACGAATGTACGATTACATATAATAATTAATTAATTATACGTAAACTATCTATATACGGATTATATACATGTACAAAACTTGTTCTGGACTTAATTAATTAATCAAACAATTAAGCCTCATAATCGTCTTTTACATGTTATATTGACTTTCCTGGGGGTTCTTTGAAACCAACGAAGACCGGCTTCTCCTCCTCGTCTTCTACCGAAACAGAGTTCCTCTTGATGAAATCCAAGCAATCGGCGATGGCGTCGGAGTAAAACGAGTTTGACCGCCCGTAAGACTTCAACATAGGATGGTGCTCTCCGCCGCAGCTGATGCTGCCGCTCCGGTGGTACAGAGCGTACTTCATCGCCGCCGCCTCCCTCGTGCCGCTCTTACCGTGACGGCGGTTCCTGGTCTTCCCGTTGACCGTCATCACGTGCCTCTTCAACGACCTCAGCGCGTGCAGGTACGAGGTTTTCCACTTCCCGACCAGGTTCAGGAACCTCGTACGGATCCGGTGGACGCAAAACCGCCGGAGGTTCAGCCTAAAACCTCTGCAACCAACTTCAAGGGCTCCGCCGGCGGCGGCTTCGTAACATGCTCGCCGTTTGTTACTGTCGTGAGAGAAATCCATTTCTTATTTGGGTCTGTATGATGAATGAATTGAGATCAAAGGGTATGGAAACTTTATTGCAGGGGTTATATAAAGGGATGGAGAAATTAATGAGGAGATGGATCATTGACTTTTCTTTTTTAACGCGGGAGTAAAACTATAAAGGAAGAGCGACTTTAGCCCGGCAAGGCGGCAAGAATGCAAAGATGATATATTCCCTATATTCCCCTGAAATCGAATTAAATCAAATCGAAAATGCAAGATGGATTATTATATATTCCCTAAAGGGTTCGAATCATAAATCATTTAATTTGAATTTGGTATCATAGAGTATTTCTTTTAAAACATACTATCCTTCCTTTTTTTAATTGCAACATGTTGAATTTTACATTATTCACATTTTCTACTTTGACTACATTTTACGCTATTATTTTATTAAAAGCATTTTTAAAAAAAATATTGTTCAGTTCATCTCATTAAAATTTTTTATAATCTATTTTTTTAATTTTTTTACTGATTGCTTTTAAGATGTAATTACGGTCAAAGACGTGCGTTGACAAGTGTGAAATGTTGATCGTTGCAATTAAAAAAGAACGAGAGAAGTATTAAATTGAATTGAAATTGAAAAAGGTCAAATGAAATAAAAACAAGTCGAGAAAATCAATACAACCTTGATATTATCAAAAAAAAAATAACAAATTTAAACCGAACTAAAATGAATAAAAATAAACTGAACTATAACATGGAGTATGATTTTTATTGGATACTCATTTTTCTCATGAATTTCAATCCGAAACGGAAATGACATGCTCACTATACCTAAACCATTGACTATGAGAATATGTGACTCCATTTGGACGAGATGATCACATATTATATCAGACTAGACTAAATCATATCAGATCAAACTTAATCAAGATAATCACATATATATTATATTAGACAAAATCAAATTTTATCAGATTAAACTAATCAGACCAGAAGAGATCGATTTTAGACAATAGTGAAATACGCATAAACAACATGTATCAGACCAAACAGACCAAACAAGTTCATATCATATCAACCCACTGAAACAAGTTCATATCGGACTTAGGGTTGGTTTGCAACCGCTTTTAAAAAACACTTATCAACTTTTGACTTTAAAAAACACTTATTTTCCCAAACACTACAAATTTTATTTTTCTCGACTTCCGCGTCAAAAGTGCTTTTACTTTTTCTATTACACAAAAAACACTTATTTTACCAAACACTACCCACTTTTACTTTTCAAAATAACTTTTTTCTCAAACACTATCAACTTTTATTTAATCACTTCTCTCCATTTCATTAAAAAAAGCATTTTTTTAAAAGTAGAAGCTGTTGCAAACAGACCCTTAAACGGATGCAATCAAATTATAAAATGCACCTACATTGTACTTGTTTTTCGCTTCTCTTCAATGTCAATTGTCACGCGGCACCCCTCTAATTAAAATCCCTCTCACGCCATGAAAATCTAAGGGTACATTATGCAACTATATAGTTGCATGTGAGGTAATAAAATAAAAGTTACTCTCACACTCCGTATTAGTTACGATTTGTATAGAGTACAATTACACATTACAAAAAAATCTAGGGATTGACAAGAATTTTTGGCAATTGGCAGGAATGTTGATAGAGATATGTCAAATTAGTGCCAAGAACTGTTTGGCACAAGCTATTTGACATGAAATTTTCGGTAAACTGGTATCAATTCCCAATCCCATAATTTTTTTTTTGTACCGGCATGAAAATTTGGTAAAATTTTATGTGACCATTAAAAGCATAGCATGACAGAGTAGTTATTACGAGTATCTCTTAATGGGTAGTGTCCAACTTTATATATTTAGATATTTGTTTGGGCCGAGTGGGTCAACCCGTAAACAATCAAACCCGCCAGGAATACGGGATGGAATGACCTGTGCTAGGTGTACACCATGCATTTTCGGGATGGAATACATTGAGACCCTCAAATCAGTCCAAAGTTATTCACCTATGTTATTCATTGCTTGGTCAAACTGCATCTTTATTACATTATTCTTTAATATGGAGTATTCCGTATGATTTAGAATAAAGTCATGGCACAACTTATTTTCTAACAATTTTGGTTTAACTTCAATATTAATAGTTTAATCTGCGCCTATTGTATTAAAATGTAACAAAATTAAATACGGAGTAATATGTACCCGTAATTTTTAATTTTGTCTCTTTTAGAAGTAAAATACTCCGCAAGTCCGTACGAAGGGATTATGCACAAAGATTGAGAAACATACTCGGTACAAAATATCCCAGATTAAAGTCTTGTCGTCTTGGACAATAACAGTGGTAAAATTTTACCCAATTAGAAGCTGTTCCGTTCGTCTTAATCTTATTACTTATTCCTTAATCTTATTTTATTCAGATCAGATCAGATCAGATCAGAAAGATTCAGATCAGATCAGATCAGATCAGAAAGATTCAGATCAGATCAGATCAGATCAGAAACATTCAGATCAGATCAGAAAGATTCAGATCAGATCAGCAACATTCAGATCAGATCAGAAAGATTCAGACCAGATCAGACCAGATCAGAAACATTCAGATCAGATCAGAAACATTCAGATCAGATCAGATCAGATCAGATCAAAAAATTCAAACATGATTTATCACTTTTATTATTATATTAATTATGATTATTATATTATAGTTATTGTTAATAATATTAATATATTAATATAATAATATTATTAATAATAATATAATAATAACGTTAATAATATTAAATTATTATTATATTATAATAATATAATATAATATAATATAATATAATATAATATAATATAATATAATATAATATAATATAATATAATATAATATAATATAATATAATATAATATAATATAATATAATATAATATAATATAATATAATATAATATAATATAATATAATATAATATAATATAATATAATATAATATAACATAATATAACATAATATAACATAATATAACATAATATAACATAATATAACATAATATAATATAATATAATATAATATAATATAATATAATATAATATAATATAATATAATATAATATAATATAATATAATATAATATAATATAATATAATATAATATAATATAATATAATATAATATAATATAATATAATATAATATAATATAATATAATATAATATAATATAATATAATATAATATAATATAATATAATATAATATAATATAGTATAATATAATTATAATTATAATTATAATTATGATTTACAATGTAATTATAATTATAATCATCATTATTATTAATATGATTGTTGTTCTTGTTGTTATTTTTGTAATTATTATTACTTCGGAGTAATTATATATTTAAATTAGTAATTATAGATATAATTATGATTATAGAGATAAATATTATAATTATAATTACAAAAAAAAATAATTATAAAATTAATCATAATTAAAAATATAATTACATTTATAATTGTATCTGTATTTATAATTAGTGTAATTGGTATAATTATTATAATTTTAAATTTAATTTTAATTATTATTTTTTTATAATTATGATTATAATTGTAATTTTATTTAAGTTATATTTTTAATTACAATTATAAATCTAATAATTATAATTATAATTACAATTATAGAAATATTCAAATCAGATCAGAAAGATTCAGATCAGAAGAATTCAGATCAGATCAGAAACATTCAGATCAGATCAGAAACATTCAGATCAGATCAGATCAGATCAGCAACATTCAGATCAGTTCAGCAACGTTCAGATCAGATCAGAAAGATTCAGATCAGATCAGAAAGATTCAGATCAGATCAGATCAGATCAGAAAAATTCAGATCAGATCAGATCAGATCAGAAAAATTCAGATCAGATCAGATCAGAACTTAAAAAATTCAGATCAGAAACATTCAGATCAGGTGAACGGAACAGCTTCTTAGTCATGCGTCAATGGTTGATTTTTTCTTGGAATATCATATTATAAGCTACTTTAAGTAAGACTTCACATAATATACGAAAGTTGCAAAAGTAGAAAATTGGTATAAATTCTCTCTTCTGATTTCACAAAACCATAGAATTTGTTTAGCATGAATATAGTTTATTTAGGGTTTAATCAGCCATTTAGTAAAATTAATACGTATGATCGCGTAGAATAATCAACTTTGGTGTTGAGTCAGTGGAAAGTTAGTGTGAAATTGGTGAGCTAGCACGTTTTATGTTGCCGCGTTCATTATTTTCACGATGATGGGGATAGATTTGTTGAAAATAAAATCTTGAGTTCCTAGAAATATTGTTTGATTGACTAATCATGAATCGCGATTAACTTAGCCAAAATGAAGATTTTATACATATTAATTGTTGACGTAAATTATATCAATACTTTCTCTTACTCGATTTAGACATTTAAAGATATATTACCTCTGTCCCAATGAACTTTGCATTATGTGAGAAATAAGAATAATAAAAATTATATGGTTCAAGATTATGCAGAATAGAGAGAAAGGAGCAGAACCACAAAATGGTTACTTTAATGAGAAAGTGACAAAGTTTTTTGGGATAACCGAGAAAGAAAACTTGACAAAGTCTAATGGGACGGATGGAGTACAAACAAACAACCTAATTGATACATGACTTAATAAAAAAAAGTAAACTTTTAAACGTTCTTCTCATCCTTCTACGAGTGATGCACCAAATTTGTCAAAATCAATATTGCAACTCACTTGCTTTCATATCAAGTTAGACTTTAGTCGTATATATTTTACTCGAAATATCATAACTAAAGATACAATTGAAATGATTGGAATAAATTTAACAGTTTTTGACATTTCAATAAGTTAATTGATTGGGCTCTTCTCTACTCATAAAGCCATTAAATTCCTATATACTCACCGATCAATCGTTTACAAGTTTGTCAAATTTGATTGATACGTAGGAGATATTACCCAAAATGGGACTAAAAATGTTTGAAAATTCTAAAATAGGACTGTCATGTTTTTATTCCCAAAATAGGACTAATTACTGTCATGTTTTGGCAGTACCAGACTTCAAACATGGCAGTATTTTCAAAACTTAGCAGTAATTACTCCTATTTTGGG